TGTCAAGCCTAGAGACCACTAAACCCCAGTTTACCTAAGCGGTATACCTTTTTACTGCTCAATCAAGAAATCTGTCAGTATATAAAAATTCGTCTTTAAGCTCATTTGAACGTCTGTCATTTTAAGGCAGTGCTCAACAAAACAGATCTCAACTATGGACGCTACGGTTTTCACAATTTTTATCGAATTGAGCTGATGAAGCGACGCGACACAGATCTTTGGATTTTGTTCACCAATTGGGGCCGTATAGGATCAGGTGTTGGGGAGTTCCAAACTACCCCGTTCAATAATATCGATGCTGGTAAGAAAACAGCTCTTCTTAAGTATACTTTTTGTCAACTCAAGGTGTTGTAGCCCTCAAGGAGTTCAAATCTGTTTGGCGATCGAAAACGGGCCAAGACTGGGGGCCATTCGAGCACTTCCAGACTTTACCCAAGAAATATAAGCTTGTTGAGGTAAAATTTAGTTGGTTCTAAATTACCCATGTAAAGTTTGCTCTCTCCTATAGACAAAGAAGAGAGTTAGCAATTTATCCGAAATTGATATCCCTTGCGTGGAGAAAAAAGAAGAAGATATGGTCCGCAGAACCATTCAAGATCTCAGCAATCTTGAAAGATTGAAGGACTACGCTAGACAGGTTAGTTCATCACGGTGGCGCAACTCACGGTCGCTAATTTACAAAATATGATTATAGATTAACTGGGACGCTTCTTGTCCTTTTGGTCACATAACTGAAGCGGCAATTGAGCGTGCTCGCGGTATTCTCAAGCAATGTGAGCTGACCGTTAAAGAACTTGAAGCAACACTTGCAAAGGAAACCCATACTGACGCTGATGTGCTTAAGATCTTCGAAAAGAGTGTAAGTTTGAGCTCGCGTTCAGTTTCACCATTCATGCCGTTTTCCCTCTCCACCAAATCTCATCAGTTCTTGTATAAGAAGAGAGGTGCTTTTGATGCCATTGTTACATGATCAAAGATTCAAGTAGCAATTCAAAATTTCTTTGAAACGAAGGAAAAATTCTTTCAATTTCCGATCCCTGACCACCTTAGTAAGGTATCCTTATCCCATTTTTCGTTGCATTTATAACGTCAAAAGCAGAGTTGATTAACCTGGGCCTACTTTTCAAAATTTCCCATCGTCACCACTTGCCTGAAGATAATTAGCATTTTTGGTAGAGGTCATCCCTTTGGGTTAAAAATTCTCTTTTTGAGTAAAAGAAGTTACCTGGGAGACATCTAGTAAGATTCATCTCAAATCAATATGTTAACTTTACAATTTTCAGCGCACGCTAACTGCTGAGTTCTATGAGAATTTCCCCACTGGAGATTTCGAATATGGTGCAATAACAATTCTGGATGGCGTAAGTTATTCCTGTGTTTATTTTGTTTCTATA